CCTATTTGAGCCGCATTCTCTAAAAAAATATATATTTTTAAACAATGATTTGGATATCATTTCAACCACACATTTTTTAATAAAATAATATTACCCGCAAATTCAAAACTTTTCTTTATTTTTTAACTACACATTCTCTATCAATCTACAATGTCAAAATACATTCTTTCAAAATAATGCGACTCAAACACACACTATATATAAAACATCCCTTCAAGTTATAAAAGAAAATTGTATAAAAATGGACTGAAAAAAGAAAAGAGGGGGCTCAGTGTCACTCAACGTCAAAGGTGACAAGGGCAGGGGACCATTGGAGACTCCAATGACGAAGCCCGAAGGAGATTCACGATTGGCTAGGACGGTGAGTTGAGAGTAAGAAAGCCTAAATGATTTGGAAATGGTTAAATTGAGAAAAAATAGAGAGAGAGAAGGCAGGGAGAGAAATGAGAATAAGTTTTGGGTCTGTTTGAAAAATAGATACACTAAGGTAGGCCTGAGCCCACTTTTTAAAAAGGAGCTCAAAATAGCTAAGCTGGCATAGTCAATTTTTTTATTTTGTTTTAAAGGCTGTCTAACAAACCACTCATCGACTGCTTGAGCGACTAGTGAGCAATTAGCCAAAAATATCAATTTTGACGGAACCAGCACGAGCAGTCGCTGATCAAAGAGAGTAAACCAATTATTCAAAAACACTGATTCAGATATGATACATACTTATACCAAATATATAATTCTAGATTCCAAGATGTCGAGTCTAAGTCTATCTAGTACAAAGTAAGACAAGACTTTTATATAGAGTTCTTAAAGAAGAAAAATTAGTCAATAAAATCGGAGAGTTACACTTTCCATTGATTATAAAAAAGAAGTTGGGTAATTATATTACCATCACAAAATTTATTAGGTGCACCACAATTTTATTTTTTTTCCTTAGTTACTTAAATAGCTTTAAGTAAAATTACATGATTAGAGTCAATGTACTTTTAATTAATCACCAAATTATAATCGCACCGCAAACCTAAACCGAATTTCTTCTTCTTCTTTTTTATAATTGCTAGTTTTGTTCCATGATACCACATGTAAGAATTCATCAATTTGTTTAATCATTCTTTATATTTTTATTTTTTTTAATTTGCTAGATCTTATAATTGTAAAATGCAACTCTTTCTGAAAACAACATGGAGAACATATACTCTAATTTGTTTAATTGTTATTTATAAAAAAAATAAAATAAAATCCAATTCATTATCTGTGAAGTGAGTAGCAGTATATATATCTTCTTGACTAAAAGTTAAGAATGATGCAGACCAAAGGAAAAGTGAAGGGAAATAAACATTTTAATGATATAATAACTTATAAGATCAACAAGAGAATCAAAATAGTCAAGTTGTACTACATGTAATTAATTATGTTTAGGAAATCTTCACTCATCAAAATGAATAAATAAGCATGTATAAAATTATGTATATAATAATTTGTACCAAGAAAGGTCGGCAAAAATTTAAATTTCATCATTAAAAGTTTAGTCTCTCTAGAAAATTACATAATAAAGGCCGCAAATATGTATCTCTTCATGTGTGTGTTGTAATTTGGCCCATCTTCTTTTAACAACTTTCAAAACATTTCAATGACCTCTCTGAAATTATAAATCAAGTTCACTAACAAAGAGATTTAGACCCATTTCTATAAAATCATGTTTTCTTCTTCTTTATCTTCCCCTTTCTTTGGAAAAATAATTAATAAAATTAGTGTGAATGAGAAGAAAACCTTTCCCATATCTCTTGATAATGTGGATGAGAAGAAATGGGTAATGTTTTCTACTTCTTTTCTTATCTATTCCATTTGGCCATGGATGCATGCAACATAAAAAGTATACAGTGGAAAGAAATGACTAGAAGAAAAGAAAAATATGTAGTTGTAGTGTATTTATTAAAATCTATAATTCTTTTTATTTTATTTTGTGAAATTTGGTATATAATTGTAAATTGTTATACATATCCTTACATGTATAACAATTCTATATCCACTACATTTTTAATTAATATCTAAAATACTGTATAAAAAAATATAAATGTTACTTTTACCCTGCCGAGAATGAAAGTGGGCTCCGCTTTTCATAAGCCCAAAACTTCAGATTTTGTTTTATGGGCAACTTACAGAAACACCCTTAAAATTAAAAGTATTTTGAAAAATCATATGGAAAATTTTTTAGAAGTAAAAAATACTGTGTAAAATTAAAAAGTGAAATTGTGTCACTTTTTTTAACACAATTCAAAAAAGTGACACAAAATAAAAAAAAGTGACAAAATTCAAGTGACAGAACACTCCGAAAATGAAAAATAAAAATAAAATGACAGAGTCAAAAAAAGTGACAAACATAAAAAAACACCATTCATTTGCACAACACCAATAATCATGTTCTTAAAATAATCAGTATGTTTAGGACAATCCACATGCTAATTATGCTAGGAAAAATATCACATATTATCTGTGTAAAATTAAAAAGTGAAATTGTGTCACTTTTTTTAACACAATTCAAAAAAGTGACACAAAATAAAAAAAAGTGACAAAATTCAAGTGACAGAACACTCCGAAAATGAAAAATAAAAATAAAATGACAGAGTCAAAAAAAGTGACAAACATAAAAAAACACCATTCATTTGCACAACACCAATAATCATGTTCTTAAAATAATCAGTATGTTTAGGACAATCCACATGCTAATTATGCTAGGAAAAATATCACATATTATATCACATTTTTAAGAAGATAAGAAAGTGACAAATATGAAAAAAGTAACAAAAACATAAAAGATGACAAACTCAAAAAATTGACAATAAAACAAAAGTATTTTGGAAGTAAAAAATATTGTGTAAATTTAAAAGTGACATTATGTCACTTTTTTTAACATAATTTAAAAAAAGTAACACAAATACAAAAAAGTGACAAACTCAAAAAAAGTGGCAAAATTTAAAAAAGTGACGAGCAACAAAATAACACTATCCATTTTGTTCATCTGACATTTCATATAATTTTCCACCTGTCACCATCTCACATTACAACATTTTCACTAAAACAAAGTGACAAAAAAAATAAAAAATTGACAAAAATTCAAAAAAAGTGACGAGTTCAAAAAAGGCACAAATTAAAAAAGTTACACAGATTAAAAAAAGTGATAAACACTTAAAAAGTGACAAAATTTAAAAAAAACGACATTTAAAAAAGTGACCAAAAAAAAGTTTTTTATCCGAATACAAAGAAGAAATCAATCAAATAACTAGGGACAAAAAGACCCACCAAACCATGAACACCAATTTAGATCTCTCATCAACAAATCATTCCCAATTATCCCCCTAAACTTGATAAAGCTTTTTATCTAATTCCATATCGAAATTTGGATCAAGTGAAGCTTCAACAAGCGTTTCATGCCAATTACAAAGAAGAGACGATGGCAACGAGACTCTAACTCTCTTCGTCACAAAATGCCCCCACGGACCTTGTCCATCAAATATCCCGCAGAATATCATCTCTTCTTGACTTCCAAATTCCTACAACAGTAAATTACACAACCTATTTATCACCAAGAAACCTCAAAGAAAGGCACATTTTCATAGCTAAATATACCTCCCAAACAATGCAGCAATCTTGATTCACACCTTTCTGCCCTCTCTTTGAGAAAACAGAAAGCAAAATTTTTCGACCCGTTGACATTGATAATGCCCGATGATCTTAGTATCAAGTCATTCTTTTTTGCATTTTTTATCATAGATTTCTCTAGCATCAGAATTCCCACAATTGTTCTTCAAACTCTTCATTTTCTTAGTCGAAAGGGCCCTTACTAATCCATTGAACATCGAAGATAAATGCCCCATTGGCACAATTCTCTATCTGTACAGATTCAAATCATACTCAAATCACATAGATAGGCATATAATCTATATATAGACATGATCACATCAATCTTTGAGAAATTTAACTTCATTAAGTTGCTTGTAAAACTAGGATGTATAAAGTGAAATTTAACTTCATTAAGTTGCTAGAGCTTAGCTTAGATTCAGTACAGTAAAAGATGATTCGAGATTGCTTAAAGAGAGTAAAACACAAGTTTGAGTAAAACACAAGTTTGAGTTAAACTTTTTTCTTTAGATTATAGAGCGTGCAAGTAACTGGAAGAGCAAATGGAGAGAGATTGTAAATGCCTGGGAAAAGAAGAAGAAATCAATCAAATAACCAGGGACAAAAAGACCCACCAAACCATGAACACCAATTTCGATCTCTCCTCAACAAATCATACTTTCTTTCCATACTTTATTGCATTAACACTATATTACCACAAAATAGAATGCTCAAATCTCAACATTGTAGCGAACAGTGCAGAATTAGAATGAGAAAAAAAAATCATTTGAAGAAATTGAACAAATCAATCAACTTTCCAACCTCAAAATTGGGGATGTAAACAGAAAAATCAAATCTAAAATCATATCGACTTCAAATCACTTGCCAATATCAGTTCTCAGCTCTTTTCCAAAAGATTGGAGAGTTTCTGTAAATTCTCTAAATACCAGAAATTCTCGTTACCTTCTAGGAATCAGAGCTTTAGCAGGGAGATTTGGAGCCAGAGTGGGGCGATAAACAGGCATCAGTTTTGGAATTGGATTTAGGTTTAGTACATTAAATAGGCTATCTTAACCAATGGCACCGGAGCCTACGCCGACAAAGGATGTTCTGGTCGTTTTCCTTCCTCATCGTTGTCAGAAGCTGTTGAGTAAGCTTGGAAGGATAATAATTAATATGTTCTAATGAAAGAGATATAATGGTGGGATGGGGTTTTTGCGGTTTTATAACGTAATTAATACCTTCTTAAAATATTTAATTAATTACTAGGGTATTAATCAAATTAGTTAATTTTCAAGGGTATTGGACCTAATTTTCCCTTGTTTTATTTTAAAGATCTCAGTTAATCCTTAACGGCCCGACCCAATCAATCATCCCGCCTTAAACGTTTTAAGTTAAAACCACTCCCAAGCTCCCTCTCGGTGCGTATTTTCGTCACAGAAAATGTCACAGCCAATACCGGTCGATGTTCTCTCTGATTCCGACTCCGACGATTATCGCCTGCCGTCTCTCAGAAACGATGCCATCGACCTCACCACGCCCCCTCTCTCGGCTCCTCATTCCAAAAAGAAACAAAAAACAGAGAATTTGTCAAACTCCACAGTCTTCATCATCGACGACGATCCCACGCCGTTAAAGCCGCCGCCAACTTCTTTGGCAGGCCCGACATTCTCCTCCACTCCTTCGTCCGTCACTGAGACCCCCTTCTCCTGTGCCTCAATCGTCAAATGCTCCAAAGGAAAATCGTTGTATTCCGGTAGGGTAAATTTATTATTAGTACTTTTACTATCTCTGGGAAGACAACGGAGACTCAAATTTGGAACTCTTAAAAATATCTTTCCAATTTGTCTGGGATTATATTTCTAATCTCTTCTCAAGGCCCTAGATTTAATATTCCAAACGAAGCGTTAATTATTTTCACATGACACTTCCTTTGTCTCTCTTTTTTAGGTAATTCTGACATCTACTATTGAACAAAAAGAGAACTTTTTATGCAGAGCTAAATTAATTAAATGCTTGCATTGTTTTTATATTAATATGCTTGATATTTTCTTTTGGTTAATAATTGGCCACAGATCAACTTGTAGTTGCTGAAACACCAATATCTGACCTTTCCAAACTCCAATTTCCAATTGTCAATTGCAACAGAGGATTTTCTGACTCTGAAATTGGGTGTTCTTTGATTTCAAATCCTAAGACTTCGGGTAAGTTTAACAGATGGGATTAATTTTTATAAGTTGAATGAAGTTCATTCTTCTTGAACTATCGTTACTGAGTTTCTGTAAATATGCAAATAGTCAACCAGAAGAAAAGGTTATATAGGAAAAACTTGTGAGATATTGACTAAAAAATCAAATCTTGTAGAGGCATATTAGGCATAGAAGCTTTTTGTACTATTGTGAATTTAGAAAGGTGACCTTTAATGATATTGTATTGACATTATGAAGTTTAATCTTGCAATAGAAAAAACTTTTGTTGCATGAAATTCTTAAATATTGGATATTTATTAGTTTGCATACTTGTAGGGCTTTTGCCAAATGTTGTGTACTTATTCGTTGGACATATTTCAATATCTTCAAGCATTTGAAGACAAAGTAATTGCAGTGAATCTGTGGTATATTTTGCACTTAATTGGATGTTTGACTCCAAATCCTTGATGGCTTGCTTTATGTTATAATCATACATAATGAACATTTCTCACCGAGCGTTAGTACCAGTCTGTATTCTGTATTTGCAGCCCAATTCTGCTCATTTACTAATTTTGGTGTTTTTATCGTAGTTTCTCCAAACTTAGTATTAAAATCCTAGTCTTGTAATCTACGTGTAAACTACTTGTCCCTGCTTCTTGATTTTGTTGAAATGATTGAATCACTGGTTACATTTATCAAAACAGGACAGTTTTGCCACTTACAGTATGTCAGAATGTCACTTATCTGGTTGATTCTTTATATAATATAGTTTGGTTTGACATATATTCTGCTCCTGCTCACTTTGTCCTTAGCTCAACCTTGACCTGATTTATTACTTGTATTTTTACTTCAGGAATCGATGGATTGATATGTGTGGAGTCAGATGATGAGTCTGATAATGTTGGTAGATTTGAAGCTTGGAAGAATAATGAAACAATTTTTGCTGCGGAATTGGTGAATGAATCAGAATTTGGCTCGAGATTAGATGCATCCTCATTCCCACTTGGTACAGTTACCGATCTGATCATTTATGTCATGACTTAATTCAGTTCTGATCTATTCGTGAAATTAGGCAACAATGTAAGTTGCTTACAATCAACTTTCAGGTTCTTCCATTGAACTATGTAAGAAGTTCTCAATGGAGAATGGTGACACTATGCAAATGCCTGAAAACAATTTCCATCAAAGTTCACTGGAAGATGACTTATCTACGGTGGGTTGTCTTAATTCATGAAAATCATCACTATTTTCTTAAAATGTTATTCCTATTGGAATCTGGAGAACCTTTTCTTGTTCATTAAATTTCAATGGTCAAAATATGAAGTTGAATTGATATTGTTTCTGTCTGTAGTATAGCTCTACATGTTCGGCTATTGCCTTCCCTCCAAAGTACAAGTTTTTAGAGTCGAGTGTCTCTCCTTCCTTAGGATGCTTGCAACAAATATCCTATTTGAGAATCACATTCAACCAGTTATTTTTGCCATGCAAATTGCTTTTGTTCTTGTTCAGATAAAAATTCTAGAAGAAGAATTTTCTACTTCGGATTCCCAAAATTTGTTTCATATGAAGCATTGGAAAATGAACGCTCATAAACATGTGTTATTTTATAACTTCAAGAAGCCTTTTCACGAAAAGCGTTGAATAAGCTCACTTTTGCTTCTATGTGCAGAGAATTTTATAGACAAGTCATTTTTTTGGGAATAGTATGAAGACTTGGATCTGGAGTGGTTCCGCAAATAGTTACTAGTGTTTGAATTATCCTTATTTCTTGCCACTTTCTGAGTCTTTTTCTAGTTAGATCTGATAATGAAATTTCTTTTAACTTTGATGATGATTTTCTTAGGGCTCAATACTAAACTGATCTTTGAATCATAGAAATCATTCTCGTATTTGATTATCATCAATACAATTTAATGAAATTCTATTTAGGCACATCGCTACCATGATGGCAGAACTGATATTTTAGAGCCCATTCAAGTCTTGAGACAAGGTAGGAAAAGTGGAGACAAGCCAAAGAAGAAAACTGGAGCAGAGGATGGAACTAAAAAGATGAAAATGTCAAAGGAGGAGAGACTTCTTTTGATGGAGGAGAAGAAACAGCAGAAAGAAGTAAGTTTGATGCACACATAATATAACCGCACATTGTTGGGTTATCAAGTATTGAGAAAATTCTTGAAATATATGCTATTTTGTATTTGTAAAATAGCAAGAGAAGTTGCTAAAGGCTGCTTCTAAGGCGGAAGCTGTGAAGATGAAAAAACATCAGAAAGAAATGCAGAAGTGGGAAAAGGGGAAGTATGCTGTGAAATCCATTCTGGCAAAAATTGACACAAAAGTAGTTGAACTGGGTTCTATTGGAGGTATGGTCTTTCTTGATCCATTTAAGTTCTATATATTTACTTCTTTCATGTACTCACTCTCTCTTGTAAGGTTACTAAGCTGGTGTTTCCTGTCATGACTTAGGACATTTGCTCACAAGGTTTGCAGAAAAGGGTCTTTCATACCGAATAACATCAAATCCAGTAGAGAGATCCATCATATGGACTATGGCTATTCCAGAAGAAATGGCACAAGTAGTTAGTGCTCAAAATTAATGAATCATCTGAAAAAGCACGCTCTTTCCTTTTTGCTTCTCTTGAAGTGGCTTTTTGGCTCTGCTCCCACTTCGTTAATGGCCTAACACTTGATTTTTCATAAATTGGCTGTGGTGTGACTTGAATACGGACCCTTTTCCACTCTTTGCCATATTGAATTAGTTCATCAAAAAGTTTAAACCTTTGGAGAAGGGATAATATTTAGTTATTTAAAATTTCTTCAACACAAGTTCTCTTGAGAGTCATTATATTATATGTATAGGTTCAGACCAGTTATGCAGGAAATCTATGATTTTCTAAAAGGAATGACAACTCAACTGATACATGCTATAAAGTTAAAACATCCAATCCCATTGGACCATTTACATTGCAATTTTCAAAGAAATTTTAACCTCTCTTTCTCTATATTTATTTTGCTTACATATGCTCAAACAAATACACATCATAAAGCTTATGCTCTTTCGAGGTGCTCTTACTACATTCTCTATCATGTTTTTTGTGTAGTCGTCATGTGCATTAGATGTCAAAATTTATATTGCTAGCTTGAGAACATGGCATTATTTGGTACTGTTGTACTACTGTTAAGCCCTTGTTTAAGCCACATTTTTACCTTATTAAAATGAAAATGTGACCGTCATCCATCACATCAAGCCACTATTTTTAAATTTCTATCTCTGGTATGGGGCCCATAACGGCTCTATTTCTCATTCTCATTCTCATTATAATGTGGCTCAAACAGGCTCTAATTTGATTATTATTTTTGGGTTCCAAGCATAACCCACAAGTCTTCATTGCCTTTTGAATGACTGACCTCATTGCCATGCTGCAGGTCTCATCTGAAGAGATTGAAATTTCTTACGTGTTAATTATTTACGAGGCTGAAGATTTCTGTAAACTTGTCTTGAATGAATCTCTAATGGGTCACATTCAGAGCATTCAACACCGTTACCCACATCATACTATATGTTATCTCACAAATAGCCTTTTGGCTTACATCAATAAAAGGTCAGTGGCATTATTTTGTTATATAACTTTTAAAATCCATCTTATACTTCAGTTCCGTTATTGTTTTTTACTTCCTTTCAACTGAGTAATTTCTAAATCCAAGTTCATTGTCACATATATGATCTAAAAACACATTTCTGAATGCTACCGATCATAAACAAATAAATTCACAAGACAGTTGGTTCTTTCTTTCTTTCCTTCTTTTCATTCATGGTTGAAAAATACAACAATGTGGTTTGAAAGCTGGGAATGTATACGTAGAGTCTGGTGGCTATTGATTGAGGTTCAAGCTTCATATTCTATTAAATTAGTTGTCCTATAAGCCTGGTCGATTGATTGCTGCTTTTTTTAAATATTGGGTCCAAGTACATAGTCAATGGGTTTCATAAATAATATTAATACTGCATGACCATGCTTTGTTTTCAGATTGTCCTGGTAATCATCTGGAAGTAAAGTTTGAAAGTTTCAATTAAAGATTTTGTTGCCTTCAAATACAATAAGTAAAGTTGCAGCAAAATCCACACAAGTACATTTAAGTTGACAGTGCCTGGTCCTTGGATCTGCTTTGGCATTCAATTTATATTGGCACTTTGACACTGTGTCTAAGGGTTAGGGTGGGATTAAAAGTTGTTGAAAGAGCATTCATGTGCATTCTGTTAGATTTTACGGGATCACTGGCATTCAAATTTTTAGTATAATGTTGTTAACTTTGCATGGCTGCAATTCTTAAACCTGCTTAAAAACCTAGTCACCTACCAATCTACCATCTACGCTTTCTTCATTTCTACGCTTTTTTACACCTATTTATTTGGCCAATGCCTAAGGGTGCGTTCTCTTTGTTGTTTTCGGACCATTTTCTGTTTTCGATTTTTCAAAACGGTGAAAACACGTTCTCTTTCCCGTTTTCGAAAATGCGTTTTTGAAAAAAAAAAAAAAATTGTACTGAAAACGCAAAATGATGGTTTATCGTTTTGGATGCTTTCAGTGTAAAACTTGAAAATTTTGAAAACGCGGAAAATGCTCCCATTTTTTATAAAATCCAGTCTCTGCCCGTCTCTCTCTCTCCTGGAAGTCGTTGGACCCCTGCAACTGCGATTTTCAGCGCCGGCGACGCAACCCACGGTCGCGGACCACCACCCCTAGCACCGGCTCATCATGGCACACCCAACGAACCCATGGGTCATCACCAATGTCGCCGAAAAATCCGTTGTTGGCCGCGAGTTCGCAGTGTCGAATTTCTGATGTAGATTTCGAATTTCTGTGTTGTTTGTAGTTATAATACCATGTATGGATGCACCTTGCTGAGCTTGATCGAGCTGTGGGGTGTGATTAACATGGGCAGCAACGGGGTTGACCGATTTTGGTAGAAAATCGTGCGTAAGTGGCTGTTTTTGGACGGTACTTAGCTTGATTTTGCTGTCATTTGGGGCTGTTGTTTGTGTAGGGTTGGTGGGGATTGATGAGGAGATGGTATTGGTGAAAAAATCTGGTGGCGACGGTGGCCGAAAGTCGGGTGGTGGTCGGTGTGTGAGGTTGAAGACGGCAGCTCATGGTGGCTAGAGAAGAGAAAATTACCATTTTGACTTCCAAAAAAGAACACGTTTTTAATTTTCAGGTTTTAAAAAATATTTTTCCAAAATGACAAAAAGAACATGTTTTCAACAATTCCAAAACACACACTAAAAACATAATTCAAAATGAATTCAAAACTCAAAAAACTCAAAACTCAAACACAAAGAGAACAACCCCTAATATATGCAGTCAATGTTTACATCAACTGTTCACTTATCTGTGTTTTATTTTATCTTTTTAGCTGGTGTCTTTGCAAATGGTTCATGTTGTTCAAATGTAATGTACAAGCATTAGTCACGAGTATTGCGTAGTACAATATTTATTTGAAATGTATATTTGGGAGAACTACAGTAAAACCTCTATAAATTGATAATGTTGGGACCGAGAATAATTATTATTTTAGAGAGGTTATTAATTTATCGATAAATGAATAATTTGTTAATATATAGAGTATTTTATATTTTTACAACTTATATTATAGTTTACCATGATACATGTTGGAAATTTTAGCCCAAAAAAAAAAAAAAAAAAAAAAAAAAAATTGGAGGAATCAATGGATTGTGTGAAGCTATTTCTGGTCTACGATATAAAAATGATGGGGCTTGAGCACCTTTTAAAATATCCTGGTGAAAATGAAGCAAAAGTAGAGTCTCTTACTAATGATACACCTATAAATGATGATCATGATTCAGGTGTTTTACTAAAGATTCTATGCTCACATACCAGGCTTATTGGTGTTATATTTATACCTGTAATTCTGATAACAATTTTACTTGAATATTTTATTAGTTTCTCAATTAACTATCTGGTGTGATGGAAATGTTTAAACTGATTTCAAATTCAGATTCTAGCGACTTTCGCAACTAATTGTTGTTTTTTTACCTTTTACCTACTGTCCTTTTGCTGCTATTGTCCTAGGGAACAAGGGCAGTACAAGAATCCTACCAACTACAGTGGGTGGAAACGCCCACCTATAGAGGAGGTTTGCGAAACCTTATGTCATAGTGCATGTGATTCTGGAAAAAACTCAGATCAGATCTATCTAAAAGAACAAGAAACATATGCACATGCATTAAAAATTTGTTATTATTCTTACAGGTTCTGTCAAAATTTACAACTCATTTTTCCAAAGTACATTCAAGGCATTGCGCTGATGAAGCTGAACTAGCTGAACATGTAGTTGGTTTGACTTGCAGTCTTGCCTCTTGTCAATTTAGGTACTCATAATTGTTTTTTTTTTTTTTTTTTTTTTTTTTTTTCTTTTTTGTTTCCTCACAGGCATAAGCACAAACATGTGTTCATCTGCACATGTAAATTCATTTCTTATTATAATGAAATATTGTATATTTGCTGAAAAATCAAGTCAGCATTTCATTTATGCGTGATTTTATGTTTTATTTTTGGCTCATACTGACTTTTGTGAAAAATACGTAAAAATCAGCTGGTACTTCCTGTCTACCAATTAGTACATTGTTTTATTACGTATGATGCAATTAAGATTATTTAATGGAAATGTACTTGGATTTGAAATGGACAAAGTTGATAGATTACATACTGCTCAAACTCATTTTTTTAATTCTGTTATAGGAATAATGAAAATTTTCACAGGAATCTTTCACAAACCTCTACAATTTTCCAGAATTTCTCACATTTTTACTCGTAATCCACTGCTGAGATAAGAGATAAAAACATACCTACTATTATGTATGATTGATAGAACATCTTTTAGGCTTATCAATTTCCATGTGATGTTAATGTCCTATTTTTCTTCAAATATTTGATGTAGGAAAAAGTTGACTCGATTATCAGTTGATGCAAATGGTTCCCTTATCCCTAAAGACTGTGTTGACAAGAATCTAATAAAGAAGAGCATGTGGTTAGTGTGTTTCTTCTTCTATTGTTTCCTTTATATTGGGCTGTCATGCAAACTGTCATTGCATGAATGAGCATATAGTTGTTTGATCATTAACTTCAGTTCCATGCCACTGAATAATGGCCACCGCTATAAGTCTTAGCATGACCTTATGCTATATGGCTATAGAATCTTGTATCTCAGAAGAGGAACTTAAGAAAATTATGTCTGTCAGTGGACAGCCTTAAATAGCACAAAGTTTAGCTACAAGTGCAGCTTATTTCAGTTTTAGAGTGCAAGTTCCATAAATTTGTCAATAATGGTCTAGCAGAGTAGCAGTAAATCTCTGATAGATATTTTATCTGGGCCATAATGGAATATAAAATTCCACGTGATTCGTAGTATGACCAGTTAATGTATAATGTAGCTCCCTGTTTTTAATGTCATTTCTGTGTTTTGAGTTGGCTTCTTCTTGTTGATTGGAAAAAAAAAAAAAAATTCTCTATTAACAACTTACCCCAGGCTGAACAATAAACGTAGGGATGTTTATGCATCATATAATTTTATTCTGCACTTGTTATAGATGAATGCACAAATGTGAAGTAACCTCTCACCATGTTTTTATTGAAATAAAAATACCAAATACATAGTTTTTGTTTTGGAATTTGACTTTCTGTTTGAATCTTATTTCACAAGATGATAAATGAAGTATATGGCAACCATTGTATGTCTAGTGATTATCCCTGAATGTTGTATGAGTTCATTACAATATACCATCACCTACTCGCTATTAGCCTAAATAGCCTCTATTGGTTCACAATTGGAGCTCAAACGAGTTCTCTGATGTGTAATAGATATAACTATATGGATTACTGCGTTAATACACATTCTTATCTTTCTCTTGTAGGCTGAAAGCACTGATAGCTATCCCGAAGGTACAGCCACGATTTGCTATTGCCATTTGGAAGAAATATCCTACAATGAAATCTCTTTTGAGTGTTTACATGGATCCTAATAAATCGGTGAGTTTTGTGTACTAATAAGGTATTCCGTTCTTTGCTTTACTTTTTGGTGTGACATTTTCTCATGGAATCTGTTACCAACAGATCAGCTCTTGCATGTCCTGTTAATTGAATACATGGTTTCAGGTTACGTTTTCTGACTCTGTACTTGAAGTAGATATCAAAGGCTAAAGAACAAGTATCTCATAAACTAGGTTCTTGATCTGATTGTTTCTGAAGAATACAGGAAAGAGTTATGAATGACCCTCCTGTTGCTTCTTTTCAGTATTCCCCTGTATCAAGAGGTTTCTGGAGCAAAATGAATCTTTTCCTTTTCTATTTGCTGGAAAAATGAGTTCATTTGTGTAACACGAGGTCCTAGAATTTCGGGAAAGTAAAATAAACTTTACTCTGAAATAGATGAATAAAGTAAATGAAATGAAAAATCAATTAAACCATAGATAAGAATGGATTCTTTAACGTATTCAGTTTCTGAGTTGTCAAAATGCGTTTCAAGTTATTTTTGTTCCCCTTTTACAAGGTCTGTTGATTTTGCTCAGGATTTTGTAAGTTGATAACAAGAGGCTTGCTTTGGTATGTGTCTTGCCTAGGTCTAGTTTTTACTAAGGGGTGTATTCATTTGAGACTTTTAACGACTTTTGAGGATTTAAAAAATTTAAGTGTATATAATTGAGACTTAAAGTTTAGGTGTATTCATTTGAGACTTTTAACGACTTTTGAGGATTTAAAAAGTTTAAGTGTATTCAATTGAAACTTAAAGTTTAGATGTATTCAATTGAGATTTTCATAAACTTTTGAAAAACCTCTAAAAGTCACGTGGTATTCAATTGAAACTTTTTAGAAGTCTCGGTCATGAGATATTCAAATTGACAATGACTTTTGGAAACTTTTTAGTGAAAAATATAAATAGCAAATCTCAAAAAACATCTCTCATATACTTTGAGATTTGTGAAGAAAAAAAGAAAAAGGAACTTGTTTCTTATTTCAATTTTCGGAATTTCTCATATCTCTTCAATTTATTTTTTATAATCAATTTATAATTATTCTATATATACATAATTACTTTTAAATTGAAATTATATGCGATTGTTTCAAAATGTAGAATTCCATTTAATCGATTTATAATGAATTATTATTATTATTTTTTGGTTAAGAACAATGTGTTCTTAGAAATTATGTTAATTGCGTGAAAAATTTTGGATATGCTTTCTTAGAAATCGATGTAATTTTTATTATTATTTTATTTGCATCAAAATTGAATGATTGAGCTGTGACGAGTAACTTTACCCAAGAAAATTTTGTGGGCATCAAATTCTCGAAAATGTTAATTAAGTAGTAAGAAAAATTGTAATTTTGCAGGTACGTAATGAATTCACAAGATGGAAAGTATCTCAAAGTCTTTAAAAATCTTCAATCAAATTATACAAAAGTTTGTGGAAATTTTTTATTAATTTTTAATAAATTCATAGAAGTCACTTAAAAGTCTATAAAATCCACAAGTCACCCACTTAAAGAATTTATAAAAGTCTTTAAAAGTCCCAATTGAATACACCCAAGTATCTTTGGAGTAGGTGTCATTACATAGAAAGCAAGCGGTTAGAAATTCTTATGCTTCCTTTATTCTCTTTGGTACCAAATTTGGATCTATCCCTCCAAAGAGCATTATTCTCTTCCCCTCAGTTGATTATCTGTTGCTATAGCATGTCATTTCCCACTCGTTTTCCTCGTACTGATTGATGGTTATTTCAATGCATCTCATACCCTAAATGCTTGGTATTCCTCTGATTCTTTCATTTTGTTTTCTACACTATGCAACTCTGATTTTGTACCTCAACTCTCAGGTACATGAGAAAGAATTTCTGCTAGAGGATTTAACAGTAGAGGGCTTTTTTGGTGATGATAGAAGATTAGGCAATATTTGTTCTAAGAGAGTGTACAGAATACTAATGGCTCAATGTGGGAACATTAAAACGGATGATATTGAGAGTGGAGCTGATTTCTTTAGCCATCAGTCTGAGTAATGCAAGTCGTAGCTACTAGCGATCATCAATCTGCTATGGGAAGTTCAAGGTGTTTATGTTTCCAAGTTTGAGCTTCATTTGATTGAGCATGTTAGATAGTCAGTCCATGGAAATGAAACTGAAATACCTTTTTTCATATATATAATCATTTTCAGGGATTCCAATGACAACAAATATTAGTGACTTGTGAATAAACTGTACATTTTTTTTATTTCTTTTTATTTTTTAATATTGTGAAGTGCAGGATAAATTCTTATAAAACAAGTCATTATGAGAGTTGTCCAAAAATTGGATGCAGTAGAGTTAATGAATTGCTATTGATAAAAGAAGAATAAGAAATATAGGAAAAAAGTAGAAAATGGTTCCATGTTTTGTTCTCTATCCTTGTGTGAAAATTGCAATAAGCTCTCTTCTCAGACTTGTGAGTTTTATTTTTTTAATCATGGAAAGAAGCAAAACACTCCCTTGATTACTCGTCTTTGCACGCAAATCAAGCACGGTTTGACTTTGGAGATTGCACTAAATCGTATAGCTTCAAAGGTCGGAGGGACAATCCGGAGATGGAGTGGAGGAAGAGTGCGAACTATAATACGTATGCAATGGAGGGTAAGTTGAAATTGTCATTGAGAAATAGTTTTAAATGGTTTACGAGCAAATCCAAAGACGACTACTATGACTCATTGATGAGTTAGGCTGATCAAAAATGAAGTTTTTTTGTTCTCATGGAACAAATTAAGTTTGTTTTTCTTGTCATATAAAACTTCTGCTGTTTACATAATCTGTAGATAATTTTAACAAAGTACATAACCAAGTGAAACAGATTACTTCTACTGCAGCTTAAATATCCTCCAGGCCGAACAGTTTTGAGATCTTCTCCAGATCAAGATTTCTGAAATCGATGTTAGAAAGGGATCTTCGATAAAGATTTGATTTACTCTCTTCAAGGTGGTTGGCAGCCTCGGTCAAAGAAGCCAGTAGGAGAGGATAGTTCTTGATGTTTTTCAGTGCATTAGGATGTGCCTCAGTTTTTGAAGATTGGTTAAGCATAGATCGAAAAGCAGGAGAAGGCGAACGAGGCAGGGTCTCTTGACTGCTTCTTTGTTTGTTGGTCGAGGAAGTGCTACTCGTACTATTAATCGTATCTAGGCTTTGGAAGCTCTCAGACGTATGCATTTCCTGCTTAAAAATAATTAAGAAGCTATCATCACAAACCAGTATCAATCATTTTAAAAGTATCTGATTGGTGACAGAAATCAGCATTATCACATTGGGAATGATCTGGATAGCTCAACTGGCAGAGCAGAAGACTGAAAATCCTCGTGTAGTTTAACGTGCATATTAGAGGTAGAAATGATGCCACACGAAACTCATTAAATACTAGTGCATAGACGGAATCTTACTCTGATATGTTCGGGGAATGAGACCTTTCTTCTATGACCTCCTTGGCTCTTTCGAGATTGTTGCTGTGCTTTTGCAGTTCTGTTTAAACAAGACGCGAAAAAATAATTATACAAGACACAATAATGATAAGTTAAAGAGATGATGTTACCTTCTTCTATCGTTAGAATGGATAGTCTCATCCTCTATAGTGCTTATGACAGGCAGACCGGAGAGATCACATGCCAGTGGAATTGTACAAAAGAACTGTAATTTATACAACAGTTAGGAAAGGAAAGGTAAAAGGTTCTCCTGAGTATATCCTCCGTTGCCTTTATACAGGACTTCTTAATAAGGAAAACTAGGTTATTCTGTAAAGTGATAACTCTTCTGTATAACCTTTTATCATTTCGATTGATTCAGCAATGAATTTCTATGTCCTGGAAACTTTGACCACTTTTGAAGAATCTAACGCAGTTGATTAAACAGGTACTATTTCTTGATTTTAACAGAAGCCTCAAAACTTCGACCATTTTGCAATTTCAGTTGTCTTTCCCTTTTCAATCAAGTTTAGCAATTAGAGCAGTAAAGTTTCTTTCTGTAACTCACCTCATTTTCAAGAGCAGAAGCAGCAGTGCCACGATATGCAGGATCCAAAGCTAAAAGTCTGCCCAAAAGACCAAATGCTGAATCAGGGAAATTTGGAAAGGTTTCCTGGAAACATGATTTATAATGTTGTGGAGGGCGGAATGTTGTTGGTGGCTTCATTTTTCTCCAATAGTGCTCCGGGGGCGAACCACAAAGCTTGAATATCTTATGAAGCTGCTCAATCTGAATATACAGTTGGCTTAATAAGCTTCATGAATACAGGTTTACTGTCTCTTTAACATTTAGGCACATTCTATTTTTTGCTCTTAAGCACGGCACAAGTACTTATAGAAGGTATTACCTCATTCCTGCCCGGCATAATTGGTCGTCTCTCAAACATCTCTGCTAAAAGGCATCCTGCACTCCACAGATCAATCCCGACTCCATAATCTGTCGAGCCTAGTAATAGTTCTGGGGCTCTATACCATAATGTTACAACTCGGCTCGTGAGAGTGGGTTTTGCTTTGTTCTGGTAAAAATTAGCTAGCCCAAAATCAGCAATCTTAAGCATCCCATTCCTGTCAATCAACAAATTGGATCCTTTTATGTCCCGGTGCAAAATTCCCCTTTCGTGGCAGTGCTGAAGACCTGAGAGCAGCTGCTGCATATAACACTTGACCTACGTACAATAATATGTTTATTACACACATTTCAGGAGCTCGATTCCAACTAAATTGACTTAATATCTGTTAAAATGTTAACTTCTACTCGTTGAATTTTAATGGCACAAATCCCATGAAAAATAAACTTAAACTGTAGTCTGAAATGGAGGATAGAATTCAACCTGAGGTGCAGCAAGCCTTCCTTCTGAACGTGAGATGACTTTGGTTAAATCTGATGGCATAAAATCGAATACTAAATAAAGACTGTATTGCATTCTTGAAGTGGCAATTCCTTCGAGCTTGATAATATTCGGATGGTCAAGGTGCCTCAACATTATGATCTCTCTTGCCATAAATTTTACACTTTCAGGCTCTGATGTATCGAAACGAACTTTCTTTAAGGCAACTACCTTCCCTGTGGACTTGTCACGAGCCTTATACACATTACTATACGTTCCGTGGCCAATCTGCAAGGGAAAAAACACTTGAGAAAGAGAGAGAGCATAGAGAATGTTCAGAGATAAAATCATACATCGAATAAAGATGAAAACATAGACCAACTTATAAGCGATTGTGCTACTTTTCTTAATAATGTTGACTTTTTAAGTTGGAACCCCGAGTCTTAATATTGTATTAGAGCCCATTAAGCTAACGAGCAATTCGATCCGATTAAAATTCAAAAAATGAGCATACGGATTTCAAGATTAGTTTGCTCACAATGAGCCACTATTTTGTGGGGGTAAATTAAGGGATAAAATCTCATTTAAGATACAACATCAAGTCTTAATAAAGAATATCTTCTCAATTCAAGAAAAGCTGTGCTCTAAGGTGAAATTACTCATTGCTGCTAAGTGATAACGATAATAAGACGGAATTCGACTTTGATTACTGACCTTGGCAAGCTTATCGTATGAATCAGCAGTAGTAAGAACCAAACCGGCCAAAATATCTCTGGGAACATGATCAACAAGCCATTTAGGCCATCCACCAACATGTGCATCTACAGGAATTTTTTTGACTGAAATCCTCTGGGAAACATTTCCACCGCCATTGATTCCTCTCTCGCCTTCTCTACTGATCTTTCTCTCCCGTCCACCACCACTGGCGGTTGCAACCACATTCTTAACCTCCACTTTGGGCCGAGATGCCTTATTGGGATCCTGTTTCTTGGCATCACGTCCTTGAAAGTATTCATTGTCAAGTTTCAACTTATCTAGATCCTTTTGTGACCTGTACACGTACCCCGTAGCCTGAACACAACCCATCCTTCACGACGGCAAATTTCCGAATATACTCGACTTTTGCAAGGAATCTAAGTGGTGAAAGTGACTGGTTGTGGTTTCCTTATACCATGCATAAGATGGTAGAACTGTGAGTTTGGCATTTTTATCAGAGGCAAGAATCAAGATTGTTCACTAGAAGACGAGGTGGTGTCATTGTCTCCTGGCCAGCGTTTTGCTTTCTGTGTATAAGGTTGGCTCCTTTTTCTCCGCCCTCGAGAAAGAAAAGGTTCAAGAATTGTATCCATTATCAATGAATTGAGCTGCATTATCAACGCATTCATGTGTTTTTTTGTAAAGACGGACACTTTTTCGAGAATAAACTCATAGTTCGGCTGCTGTCGATCAGTACAAGTTAATCTTACTTATTTGTTTAATTGCAAACTTATTTATAAATAAGTAAATTTTTTTAAGGTTAACCAAATACGCACCAATATATGACCATTAAGAGGATAATTCACGTACGTCAAAATCTATGAAGTGGTTCAAGAAAACGACTATTCGAGTTGAATGATTGGAGAGACAAAGCTATGTTTAAATTAACTCAAAAATTATTCATAGACACCCCACACTTTTTAAAAATTATCCTAACTTCTTTTATTAGAGTTTTGAATGATGCATATTTTCCTTGAGGTTTCCGACAATTTTATAGACACCTCTTTCCTTTCAAAAATTACATAAGTCTCTCTCATTTCCAAGTTTTGAATAGTACATACCTCCCCGAGCAAGGTTTATGAAAATTTAAAACACATTCCCTCTATTTTCAAGAATTACACAAATTTCACTTATCTCAAGTTTAAATTAACGATGTTGTTTGATAGAAATTATAATCTAAATTTTTATCAAAGTTAAGGTGAACTGTTAATTTTAACTACATATTTCATGGGGTCCAATAACTTTTCAACCATATATTTCATTAGTTTTTATCAAAATCTGTTAAAAACATGATTTTAATCTCTATCAAACATAGCAAATGTATAACTCCCTTGTCAATTTCCTTCCACATGTTAATATGAATAATAGTAATAGTGCTTAGAATAATGTTACGAACTTTCTTCGATTTTATGGTCTTTTAATATTGTAATACCTAAAGTACCATTTTAACGTTTCTAACCAAATCAATAATAAAATGTTATTGAGACCATTGCTGCTTAAAAATACATCAATTTTGATTTGGTATACTCAAAATACATTACACATGACAAAGTAATGAGCACTTGAATCCTGAGTACTAATTTAATAAAATTTGTATGAGCATAAACTTCTTGAGATATATGTGTTATTCAAATTTTGAAATACGAGATATTTTTGAATTTTTGATAACGGAAAGAGTGCTAAAATTGTCATAAACCTGTATACATTATTCAAAAGTTAAAATAATGAAGATTTGTGTAATTTTTGAAAAGTGAGGAGATCTTTTAAGATTGTTATAAAGCTCAAGGGATGTCTTTAAAATTTGCCAAAAATATAATTTACTTAATTTGACATATATAAGTGAGTCGAGTTAGTCCGAAGAACAAGATTTATCGTATTTTAGCCAACCAATTTTATCAAAGATATTTTTAATTTATTTATTGGCTCAAAACTATTTCCTTTTTTTCTACTTTTATTTTTAAAATTTTTTTATTGGATTTTTTATACTCAAGCGTGTTTTTGGCAATGTTAAAATTCAAACAGGCATTTTCCTTTGATATAATGCTTTCTCCATCACAAAGAATACCCTTAACAACTTCGATGCCAAAGGGAATGGCATATCCTTTATTCCAACAGCCAAATGAAGGCAACTCGGGTGTTCCAACAGCCAAATGAAGGCAACTCGGGTGATCGAGTTCTATATCCAATCCTGGCTGCTGGTCTATAACATTAAAGGCAAAATTGTTATAAGGTTACCGCTATTTTATCCACACTTTTTATATATACATATACTTTTAAAAATTAAATTTCGTTGTATTTAAAATCCTATGGAAATTTACTTAAATAGACATAAACAAAATTAAATAAAAATACATAGCTCTAAATTGATCCACTAGTGTTTTTTTTTTTTTTTTTAATTAGAATCCTTATAGATAGAGAAAAACACATGAATATAATTATATGTGATGGTGGTCCTAAATGTGATTTATGTGTCCAGAATCATATCGAAATTCAAGGAATGCAAAACGAAATCTAATGCAATTTCATTAGTTAATCAAGAAAGAAGAATAATTGTAGCCAACAAAGTTAGTAAAATTCAACTTACTTAATCGAACTTTATTCTTCTTTCTTTTTTTAGCCTTTGTTGTTTGAAGCATTCAAATACTCATAACTTCAATAGACAAAAAATTTATTTCATGTTAATTTAATGTTCAATCAATACAGCTTTATTCTTATTTCGTTCATTTGGTTTAAGAGTTTATGATTTTAGGGATTGAGCGAATCTATAGTAATAGGGATGTATTTAAAGTAGGATGAATATATAAAATTCATGTGGATATACAGTATTTAAATGAATTAATTTAATAAGGACAAAATTGAAATATGATATGGATGTAAATAGTATTTTTTTAAAATTTTAAAATTTTATTAGGGATGAATTTAGAATGAGATGTACTTATAAAAAATGTGGATGGAAATAGCAGTACCCTTGTTGTAATTATCATCACGATCAAGTGGTAATCAATAATTTTAAAAACGTAAGGCCTCCACCCTAACTATAATTAAAACAATTATCTATAAACAAAATATCTTCAATGTTGAAATCGCTGCGACGCGCTATCAATATAAAGAAACCACGAACGATATGAAATTTAGCTATTCTAACCTTTTATCACAAGTGTATCGGAAGGGAGATCTTAAAGCTCGCTTGCACATCTCACCAAGTACAACAAAGCTCTTTACATTTCAATGACCTTCAAAAAGTCGTTCTGTTAGCACGACTTTTCTATTCTTTTGCGAGACACTCAAGACTCGAGAGAGAACAGCAATCTCAATAAGAAGAATCATGGTCATGGCTGCTATCGGCATGCATGTCCATTGAAGTGTCATTGGTGCCAGGCAGAATAGGATCCCTGCTTTCATAACCATTGTTCTCATTATTGCGCATAAGTGTATTTACATAGTAATCTCCCTGAATCAGGTGATGGTGGTGAAGGCTCCGACTAACAGGACTGGAGAGAGCATTTGAGAAAATAGAGTTCCCGGAACAGAGTCCTTGCCCAACAGTTGCAGGACCAAACGAATTAGAACATACTTGAAATCCTGTGTGAGCAGAACGCATTGCAGCTTGCGACTGTAGTTGTTGCTGCTGGAACGGCAGCCTTGGGGAAGATGGGAGTTCTTCTGTTCCATAATCGAGCTCATTCTGCAATTTTACAAAGAGACAGAGAAGCTTTCAAAATAATATATTCTAACACAAACATGCCTCTAAGAACTGACAACATATTCACAGTAGCAATCATATAACCCATCATATTAAGGGTGTGTTTGAGCCCCTGTAATCTTGAAAAATGCATTATGGCATGGTAGATTGACAAGGAATATGTGGTTTAAAAAGAGGGAAAAGTTTTTGTTTGCATGTAATATTAATTCAATGAAGAATGTGTGATTGAAAATAAGTACTATAGAAAAAATAATGTGGTAGAATGTAAAATAATGGATGCAAACAGGGGCTAAAATAGCGGCACCACAATTTTTAACACCACATAGATTTTAAAGATCAAAATCACACATAAACATTAGCAGACACATAATGTAAACAAGGCAAAAGACGAACAAATTATGAGCAACCCAAGGGCTCAATTTGTGTTGTGTGTTCTTTGGAGAAATTACTCAAAAAAACATGTTTTATGAAAGCTTTTCTAGAATGTTAAAAAAGTCCTATGACATGGCTCCATCAGTCAGATGAGAAAAACACACGTTTCTCTCCCCTTATTAGAAAGGAGTTACCTGTTAGGTATGGCTTTCTTAATTATTGAATAAAAAAAATTTACAACATCAGATAAAAATGTTGTGCTTTGGCACCATGAAGTTCTAATTTTGGAAACATTTCCAGAAACATGGCAAGCAAACATGTATTTGACATTCAAAATGCAGGAAAGCGGAACCACATTTTCACTTAACATAATTGGAGAAGAAGGCATAAACCAGAAAAGTGCAGAGCTTAAGTTCAAAGAACGGAGTCCTGAGTCCTCAAGTCACATTATTGAGATATGCTAAATAATTAGCTAGGAAAATAGGACAAGAACAAGAACAAGAAATAAAACAATTCAACAGGGCTACTTTTCCACAATAAAATTTCTCATCAGAAAGGCGGAAGTTATTTCATGCATGCATAAAGTTGAAAATATAGTGGATGTCTATACATTGATGCTATCGAGCAATTCCACACTTGGACAGAGAGAAAAGCTGAATGAACATAAGAATAGCACTTTACCGAGTTCATTAAGTCCAAAGCAATTCCATGATTTGAATACATTTACCTATGACAAGAAGTATCCATAAGATCATTTTCTTCTATCAAATAAGACATAGAGCCTACTAAAAAATTTTCAACTTGAACTATATTTCCAAGAAAGTTAAAACAAGGTTACAAGCATAAGGAGAATTATTTTTCCAGACTTTCGAACCACAAACACATTAAGGTGACAAGCATTATCTTGTTCAAATGAAGAGTATTACTACCATAATTTATCCTTGTTGATGCAGTATGTGACCAAGTTCTATGATAGCAAAATCAACCAAGAACTGCCTAGCAAATTAATGGCATGCAACTCCTTGATTATATGGACCTGTAAACTTGATAGATTAATTCATTCGTAGATGAAATATTTTGTTATGAGGTGACATGAAGTTACTAGCTCAACGGAATAGTCGAATCTCTTGATTGAAATATGCCATCTCTTGAGTTCTAAATTCTAGTTCTGTACCATAAAAAATAAAAAAAATAAAAAATTTAAAAAATTTAAAAAAAATTCTAGCACATTCACGAAAATAGATACAAAAATTTCTAGAACTCTACTTCATGTTACAAAATTTGAGGTTACTGTCTTCAGAAACTTGATTCCCAATTTCAGGGTAAGTAACATTTGTTCAAAAGAAAGATCGTACTATGAGGGTAGTAAAACCTCTGCTAGTACTTCAGCTTTCTAGAGATATACATAATTGCACTCTGGATATCATTCATTACAGTTCAATCATCAGAACACAACAAACATGAGCAAAGAGAAACTACATTTGTCGATGAATAGCATTGAAACTCAAAACCAACATTGCCCAAGCAAACACTGGAGTATATACAGAAGATAACCAATATATAACATACATAATCACCATAACAAATTGAAAGGAGATATAGGCAGGAGATTTTGAGTTTGTCAATTATTAAAATCATTATAACAAGATAAGAAACCTGAATATATGCAAATATATCTCCGGTCGTCACTCTTGCCCCATCTTCTTGTTGCCTTAAAATCCAATTATAAAGTTTCTCCTGCAATAAAATAGAAAATGAACCTCGATAAATCATTTTAGTAAATTAGAAGCTGTCCAAATCGCAGTACACGCGAAAGATATTAGTAAACCACATTCAAATTGAGCAAAAGGTGTGCTGAATTAACTCTATTATACAAAGAGCTGCATAATTTAACATCAAAATAATCATGAAACATTAAGAAAAGCTCGATTGAAGGAATCCCATCAAGTGAAACCAATAAAACGAAGTCATAACAAAAACGTTAACCATGGGATACTGACCAACGAGTGACGTTCGCCGGTCTGGAAGGAGAGGCGCTGGTGGTGCATAGCCTGGGTGTAAAGCTGAGAAAGAGAGTTCGCCGCGCTGCAGAAGGTAGAGTACATGGTTCGATCCACCTCATCTAGCCGCGTCGCATCGGATTTCCTCTTCTTTGCCATTCGTAAAATGGAGTTTCGAATTTTTCTGCTCAACCCTAGATTGATCGGCCTGTATAATTATGTGCGTATATCTCTGATAACTACGGTGCTTTATGCCTTTATGTGAGTTCTGGGGACATCTGCGTTAGGAAGGAAATGAAATTGTTAGGAGAGAGAGAGAAACCGAGCGGTGGAGGCTTTCGGTGGGGTCCATTTTGTGTTTTTGAAATTCCACGTGGCATGTTTCTTCGTTTTCCTTCATGAGGGAAATTTGCAGTTGGATTCCCAAACACTACTCCCTAAAGCACCTTGGTCCATGTGGAATAATTGAAAATTTCTTTAAAATATCGCGCAATCCATATTTCTTCAAAAACCATTAGTTAACCAAAAGAAAAAATATATATGAAAAAAATAGTGAATCTCCAACATAATATCATCACCCCCATGACCATCAATCCTAATTGATTCACCTCCTTACGACCCAATATTTTCAATTTTTCGATATATCTGAAAATCAGAAAGGTGTCAAATAATTCTACAAAACCCACTTAGTCTCCTCTAAAAAGAAGTGCAGAGTTGGGATATGGGGCAACAAGGAGTGGTGGGACGGTAGTGATGGCAACAATTGCACGATTAGAAAAGACGTGACTTTTCAAAAAAAATTCTTTTTTTCTTTCATTTGTCTTTTTCTCTTCTTCTAGTTGTTTTCGAAGAAATAGAATGAGTTGACTAAAATACACAAAAAATGATAGGCACATAACAGTTAACACAATAGAACTTTGGATGAATTCCATCTAAAAGAAGGAACATGCGCCTGAATTGTGGATATGATGGGATGGAAAAATTAAAAAAAGTGAGTGGGATCAAAGGTGCAACTAGAGCTAAAGTTGGGGACACCAATAGCAATTTTCTTTTTCAACATTAAAAAAATAGTTAAAACTTTTTAATAACTTTGTTGAATTCTCACAAATATCGTGCACCAAAGCACATACTGTAGGGAATTTATTTAAACATGCACAGCGAAATTTAACAAATTTCAATTCCCATTCAGGATTCAACTTTGTATTTAGATAAAAACTGTGATAAGAAATATACATTTTCTTGTAATTTGCAAACTCATTAGCGTTATTCCTTTCCAGCAGCTTGAATTTGTCTCCCACAGCTGTCCAATTGTCCAGTCTCCAATGAAATCCACACAGAGAATATACTGCAACTGCTAGGATTTCTCTCTTGTGCCAGCAAGAATAATGAAAACCTTATGGACCTCAAACCCTAGCTATGTATATATATAAACCCAAACGGACTCGGCCTGGCCCGGCCCGATCCAATATTTAATTAATCCAATTAATTAATTCGAGAATATAAATAACAAATTCAATTAATTAATTTATCCAACGATTGTTAAATTAACCAATTGACAATTTGCAATCTTCCAATTCTCTTTTGTGTGCGACCCATTAGGTTCCCGACCACGATGCCTAACGTCGTGAAATATTTTTTTGATCTAATCAAAATTGATAAATTAATATACCATTTTAATTTATCGTCAATTCACACTCGTCGTCCCTGATTGACATCTAGCAATGTATCAGGGCAATACATTTGACGAGAAATGTCACGTGATATGACAAAACCAAATTCGTTCGTTTACCGTGAAACTATTATCCCTTCGTCAATACGATCCGATCAATTACGAGATATAGAATTGTGTCAATATCGATCATTGATCATATCTTTCACTCCACTATTAAGTCAATATAAATCGAAAACTCCTTTTCGACTTATGAGTACACCTTGGCCAAGAATTTCATCATCGACTTAATTGAATGAAACACAGATCATAATCTCCTACTATCTAAGAGTGACGAATCCTTTATTGATCAATCACAACCTTCATACGATTCTTGACGTACCCGAACGATGTCGTATTAGCAGCCCCTTTCAGAGCAACATCCAACACCGCCAAAGTATGACTGTTCTCATATAAGGTACCATAACGACCTCAAGTCAAAGGACCAATTCCACTACCGAACGTTAGAGATTAGCCACTGACACTCAGATAGTTATCCATGTGAAATCTTTTAGCGGGTCTCCAATGTTTTGTTCTATAACAAAACATCCACGTGTTCATTTAAGTGTTACCATACTTTAGCTCGTGAGATCAGCTACTTACTTCACAAGTAAGAAATGTCACACGTGATGGTCTAACTGTATTAATGATATCCGTATCTCGTTATTACTTACGACCATAGTTTTTTCAAGATCCAATTATATGTAATTTGTATATCACAATCACAACTCCTTGTGATTAACAGATTACCTAAAATTGGATCTTCGGATTCTATTATTTAATATTATTTATCACAAAATTAATTTAAATAAATAATAGATCTCGCCAAAATCAAATGCATTAAGTATATTAAAAGCGTTTACAACCTAAATCGATTGGATCTAGGGCATAACACTTACACATAAAGCCAATTAGATTGTGCTAGAGTCAAAGTTCGAGCTAGTGTAGACAGGTTGTGCAATTGGACAGAGGCAGTTCGCACTAGAATAGACAGGTTGTGCGACTAGATGAAGGCAGACAGTTTCAGCATTAAAGCTGCTTGTGAATTTTTCAGGACAAGGGATGCAAATGCAGCATGAACAGATACGGTTTGGAACACTTCCATCACTCCTAAGCATGCTTTCATTATTTGGTTATGAGTTAAGTCCAGATTACTAATAAATGATAAAATTCAGCATTTGGAATTGGACCGAAAATGTTCATTTTGTAAAGAAACGAAGGAACAGCACTGCACTTATTTTTCTCTTGTTTGTTTAGTAGTTCTGTTTGGGGATAGATTCGTAGTTGGTTGGCCATTAGACACACAATGTCAATCATACCAAATGCATTGAAATGGATTAAAAAGATAGCACAGGGAATGACTTGGCTAAACAAATTTAAACGAATTGTACTTGCTTCTTCCATTTGCTACATTTGGATCGCGAGAATATGATGATTTTTTAGAATCTTAGGTCACAAGTTAATTGCATCGTAAGATGAATTAAAACACATGTATATAAAACTATGTTTGCTTTGTATCCGCATATTTTAATTCATTTGAGTCCTTGATATTGAGTCATTAGCTTATTGTCGTTCGTACATCTTTTCATTTTGTTTGCTCCGAAATGTCCGGAGTACTTGTAATTATCACTTTATCTTGTTTGCTTGGATATGTCCGGTGTACTTGTAAATGTATTTTGATCAATAGATTTTACATTTATCGATAAAAAAAAATAGCACGGGTCATTTATTGTACAGCATATAATAATTGTTAAAACGAAGATGTGAAAGCACGAAACAGGTGACTCAAGTAATTTGGATGCTTCAAGAAAAATATTGAAGAAACATTTTCAAGAGCAATGAAATAAAATATTAATGGGTTAAATCATCATAGTCATCTAACTATATACTTATTGTCATCATGACCACAATATTTGATTTTGTTTCACCATAGCTACCCAACTTTATACTTAATGTTATCATAACCATTCAACTTCTTTCTACCATTTTCAATGGTAACTTTGCATTATATTTACAAAATAAAATTAAAAAAATAAAATAAAAGTTTTTTTTTTATTTTTAAAAACGTTTTTGTTAAATAAGTTTTAATTTAATTTTATTTTTCTTAAGTTTTATTTTAGTTTTCTAAGTAACGTTTTTCTAAAATTAAATTCTCACCCACACTCTATGCCCTTTGTAGCAGCCACCTCCGTCATCTCCCTACATTGGTAACGAGTTCTAAAAATGAGCGGTGGAAATGGTGGCGAAGGTGAGGGGTAATATTGGTGATGGTGATGATGATGATTTGTAATCTTTAAAAGTGATTTGCAATTATCAATAAGGAAGGCTTAACACAGTATTAAGCATGAAGTAGACTTGAGTTTTATCTATTGGAGAAGCATTAAAAATTGTCAAAAGAAATAGGTTTAGATTGAAATTAAATTAAGGAAATTATAGATAATAAGAACTTTCGAAAAGTAATAAAGTATCCATTCGATACCTTAAAGAATTAGTTCGATCAAATTCTAAAGGTCAAGTTAACTAAAGATACAAGAAGTATATGAAGAATGTAGGTAAGTAGGGCTCGGCATCATTCGGCTCCAAAGAGACCAAATCGAACCAAAAATTAGTTGGATCTTTTAAATGGAACTGTCATGAATTGAACCGTTCAAATCAATTCTATTAAGTTTCATACCATAATTAAGTTCTTTTAGCATTCTCATAATTTCAACAACTATTTTCAATATCCTGATGTTTAAAACAACACAACAATCTAGTCTCCATATTAATACATAATGATAAACATTGCCCAAATTTAAAAACACAAACAATAAGATATCTGATAAATTTCACCCAGCATATAAGAATCATCAAAAGGTAAACAATCATGCTCCGGTGATCGAAAATGATTGACAGAGGGAATGACCGACCCTCACAATGGCGGGACCCACTTTTTATTTTGGACATTTTTATTCACGCGACATGCATGTGAGAGGATATCAATTATTTGGTCATCCATTTTCGGGCAAGGTAGTTTAATTCAAAGACAAATTTTTGGGAGATGCAAGATGTAGTTAGCTTCATTTTGAAATTTGAGGTTGCACAGATATCAAACCAATCGTACATGATTCTATGTTTAAATAATTTTTCTTTTTAAGCTTTTACTTCTGTTTATAATAATGCTATCCTTTAGACAACATAATCAGTGAAAGAATCAAAAAACAACCCATCGTCTACAAATTTTGGTACATGAGGGTCATGATTAACCCATTTGATTACCACGAAAAGTATGATTAACATTAATGACAAGAAAGGAGTCGAGGTAAATACGAAATCAGTCGTTAGTAAATAAATATTTGTATTACGATTAATCTTTTAAAATGAAAGTCCAAAACTAAATATAACATTATAATCTAAAAATTAAAAAAAAAAAAAAAAACAACTTGATTTGTCTAAAACTTAAACGAGGAGCCAATCTCCATGAACAACACATCTTTTGAATACGAATACAAATACCATCGTCATATAAAGTATATAATATTTTTCTTAACAAAATTGGCATGTTAAGATCAAATTTTAATAATTTGACTTTTTTTAGTTTATTAGTATAAAACCTATATTACCTTATATCCATACGTAC